GGGAGCAAGACGCGGGGGGGGGGGTCCAGGCCAGAGAGCCCGCACGCATCGGCCTGGGATCGCGGCCTTCCCATCCGAGCCAAATGTCTGCCCAGGGGGAGGGAGGCCCAGAGGCGCCACCTCGCCGTCCCACCGCCCCGTCGACTGGGTTTCCAGAGCAGCCCTTGACCTCCCAGTCACCGCCCCCAACCCACCCCCAGGACTTCCCCGCCAGGAAAGGCGTCGAGGTCGCGTCCTTCGCCTGGATTCGCCCCCCGCGGAGAACGGGACGTTTTTCTCCGGGCCTGTAGGCAACTCGACACCCCGTGTAACGGAACGGAGGGAACCCTTCCCAGCTGCGGCCGCCCGGGGCTTTGGAGCGATCTCCGGCAGCGGCTGAGGACGGGAAGCGTTGACCTCGGAAGTTAGGAAATGAGGCGAGCAAAAGCTCCCCCCCCCCGCACCGTTGCAGAAGAGCCGCGGGCGGAGGAGGAGGAAGAGGAGAACAAGAGAGGAAGCAGCTGCCGACCCTCTCTAGGGCAGAAGAAAGCAAGCAGCAGCAGCAGCAGCCGCGAAGAGGGCATTAAGACACGCTCATTCACACGTCAACTTCGCACTCCCAAACAATCACGCTTCAAACTGGCTCTTGACCCCTTGACTTAAGGGAAGGAGAAGAAATAAGGGTGGGGTCACTGGGGGAGACCCGGATGCGGCAACCCCCCCCCCTTCCAGCCTACCCCCCTCCCAGGGTTGGTGTGTGAGGATCCAGTGGTAAGGAGGAAAAACCAGGCGCGCTCACTGGAGTTTTGTATCCTTATAAAGGTAAAGGTTCCCTTGCTCGAAAGCCAGTCGAGTCCGACTCTAGGGTTGCGGTGCTCATCTCCGTTTCCAAGCCGAAGAGCCAGCGCTGTCCGAAGACGTTTCCGTGGTCCTGTGGCCGGCATGACTAAACACCGAGGCGCACGGAACGCTGTTACCTTCCCACCGAAGTAGTACCTATTTACCTACTTGCAATGTCTTGCTTTTGAACTGCTAGGTTGGCAGGATGTATCCTTGTACTTTCATATATTTAATAAATCCTCCTCCTCATCCTCATCATCAATTTTGTATTTTGCAGAACTGCATTGGCAGAGCTCCTGCCTGGCCCCTCCCCGCCTGACGCGCACCGGACCTGACCCCGGCCGCCCTGTTTGGACACAAAACGTCCGCATCGGGAGAACCCGTTGAGCGGCCCCAGCCCACGCAGCACGGGAGAGGACCGCCGGACCCAGGTCCTCCGCCGCGGCACAGAAGCCTTCGGGACGGGAGGCAGCGCTCCCTCCCTCCGGGACAGGAAAGAAATGAAAGGCGACGACACACCCACGCTCCCTCTAAGCTGCGGAGTCTTGTGAGCAACAATCCTACTTTGTGAGCCACTGGCATGATAGCTGGCCGCTGTTGGCTCTGGAGCCACCCTCCCTGAGCGAAGGCAAAAAGGTGTGAGCCGGAGGCTTAAAAAGGGCCAGCGAGCTCACACTACCTCGGCTTAGAGGGAGCACTGCCACACCTGGACGTGTGCTCTCTGCCTTCTTTCACCCGAACGACCATCCCCTGGTTTCCCT